GGCGGGCGCGGGCCCGGAGCTTTACCTGCCTTTGGAATATGCAGAGCGGGATCGGATCCGGACTCCGGGTTGCGATCCGCTCCGGAAACTGCGCAGCACCGGAAGCCGGGGGGGCGGTGGCGCGGCATCGTGGGAGTTGTAGTCCTCAGCCGGGCGCGGGCGGGGCGGGCCGGGGAGCCGGGGACTGGGATCCGGGGCACGGGATGCGTGGACGGGGAGCTGGGAATGGGGAGCCGGGGACCGGGAGAAGGGGAGCCGAGGACGGGGAACCGGGGACTGGAAGGGAGCTGGGGACCGGGATGCGTGGACGGGGAGCTGGGGATGGGGAGCCGGGGAACGGGCTACATGGATGGGGACCCGGGATTGGAGAGCCAGGAATGGGCTATGTGGACCGGGAGCCGGGAATGTGGAGCCGGGGCACGGCTGCGTGGACGGGGAACCTGGGGGAACGAGCGCAATCGATGAGGGACCCAGGAAAACTGCTGTATGGATGAGGAGTCCCTGGGTGAGGAGCCAGGGAACGGGCTTCGTGTGGATGAAGAGTCTCTGGGTGGGGAGCCTGGGAACCGGCTGTGGGGACAGAGTTTGTCAGGGTCTGCGTGGATAGGGAACTAGAGGACAGGTTGTGTGGATGCGGAGCCAGGGAAATAGCTGTGTGGATAGACTGCGGCGGATCTGGACCCTGGGAACTGGCTATGTGGATCCAAGAGAGCTGGGCAGAGGCTGCATGGACAAGGGAAGCCGGGGACCTGCTCCAGAGATCAGGTGGAGCAGGCCGTGTGGAGACAGGAAGGAGCTGGATGGACAAAACAGCTGGGGAGAAGGGTTATGTGGTCCCTTAAGAGTTGGGCAGAGAGGGTACTAAATAGGATTGACATGTATGAATAATTTCAGGGTGCTTACAGATAGAAAAACTGACAGGTCACAGCAAGAAAAACCAGCGTAAAGTCGGGGCTACCGAAGGCACAGTGCCATTCGTAAGAAGCTAAGTATTTTGCATTGGAGCAAGGATTTGAAACTAACTTATTTCAAAGACTTTGTCTTGAGAGCAGAGCACTTACTACCAGGGTACCCAGCCTACACAGGGGCCAGCTAGGATGTTGTTTAACCGTACGCAGCTGCTCAGACACTCAGGTCACCCAACGGTGGTCCAAGGGGCCAGCTACTGAGCTGGCAAGAGTCCTTGATAGCATCCACATGATTCTGGTTTTGCATACGTGCAGAATGCAAAGCTTATGGGGTCATGAAGGCTTCCAGCTAGATTTCAAAGAAAGACGGACGCAGGCAGTGTGTAGCAGACTGAGAATCACTGTGGGGACTGAGAGGATGGTGTGCAGAAGGAATAGAGTTGAAGAAGCAGTGGAGTCCCAGGGGGCTAGAGAGGTTGGGAGTAAGGACCACGGATGAAGGTATCTATGAGCAGCAAGAAGAACCAGCCCAAAGGGGAGTCCGGAGGGTAGGGTGGAGTGGGGCTATGCGAGCCTGTTTGGGCTCACATTGTGCTCCAACATCCCTTGGATGTTTTACATGGATCTATATAACAGTGCTTTCTCTGCTGGGCTCTGATTTTATCTTTATGTCCATTCCTCTTCTTTGGAATGGGAATACTTACTCTGGGCCGTAGGGGGTCACAACTGAGAGTTTGCCTTGAGTCTTTGAGGAATCTTTAAAGTTAGACTTTAAGACTGGGGACTCTTGGAGGTGGACTAAATGTATTTTGCATTAGGACAATAGCCTTTGGGGTTCTGGGACAGAGCATTATGGCTTAAATATGATGTGTCCTCCAAGGTTTCTGTGCTATAAATGCCTGGTGCCCAATTGGTGGTCCCTCCTCCCCTGTGTTCACCAGACATTTTGTCAGTGAAAGAGAAGCCTGTCTAGCACACCACCGGATGTGCTTGGCCAGTCAGCATACGTCCAGCTCTGGAGGTGTTCATTTTAATATGAAATGCCTTCACTGCAAGGCATTAGCCATCTTTCTGCCCACCGCTAGCTTTTTTTTAAGAAAAAATTTATTTTATGAATGTTTAGCCTGCACATATGTGTATACTGTTCTAGCAGAGTCCAGAAGAGGGCGTTGGAACCCCTGGAACTGGAGTTACAGACTGTTGTGAGCTGCCATGCGGGTGCTGGGAATCCTTTTTATTTCTTAGAAAAATCTGGCGAGGGGCTGTGGAAATGGATCCCAACACCTATATAAAAAGCCAAGCAGGGACACACAGGTCTCTGACCCTAACACCGGGGATGGAGCGAGGGCTGGAGACCCTGGGATTGCTGGAGCTTGTTGGCACCAGCCTAGCTCCAGGTTCAGTAGAGACCTTGTCTCGAGGGAGTAAGACAGAATGATAGAAGGGAACACCCAACATCCTCCTCTGGCCTCCATGAGCACTTGCAAGAAGTGCTGGCTAATTTTATACAGATAAAACGGAGGCTGTAGCATGTCGGTGGCATCAGTATAGAAAGGCCAGTTTTGATTCTCTGTCCTATGGAGGACAGGACTTGGCAGTGTCCATTGAGGCTAGCCATGGCATGGAGCTGGACTGGACTGTGGTCAGGAGGGTCTGGTCTGGTCTGGTCCTTACTCTCCAGGGTGGTCACTGTGTGCTCATCTACCCTGGTGTCTAGCCTACATGTGAGTCCCCTGCTTGTTCTTTTTCTATGAGGTATTTATTGACACATACCCATAGCACCCCACATTTGTAGTGGAGCCTGATGCCAAACCAGCACATTGTTACCCTATCAGACCTCGGATGCTGGATGCATAGGACAGGATGCATGGGAGACCATGCTTCTGTACATAAGACTGACAGCCATCCTCATGCCCTTAGGTGGCCAGTGACTGGGCCAAGCCCTGGGGACACAGGAACTGGGGAGTAAGCAGGGAAGATGAGGTTACAGGGACAAGGGACGGAACATGGCATCAGGTGCCCCAGGGAACCCTTGATGGCAAAAGCTGTGCAGGAAAAGGCAGGGTTTGAGTCTGCTCAGCCTGTTTGAATAGAGGTGACTGCCAGGGATAAAGCTTCGCATACTAGAATGATGGAGGGCAGATGGAGATCACTCTGGGTTGGAAATGGGTTGGCAAGAACCCAGCATCCCAGGAGCTGTCAGCCTGGGAAGCTGAGAGATCATGACCAGTTTGGCCATCCAGCTTCCTCTTAAGATGTCGGTACAAAGCAAACCTTGCTGGTCCACACAGGAGGCAACAGACCCACCCACCCACCCACCCCAATCCTAACTCCAATCCCAGACATGGCACTGCCATTGCCCCTTGCAGTGCAGTGGATGGGCCTGAGTAACTGTGGGTATGGCCATCCCTCCAGTGGTCTTTTCTCAAAGTAGACGCCATCGCTGATGTAGAGAGTACACAAAGCTTGGCTTGGGACTGACTCATCCTGAAGGGGAGGTGAAAGTCACTGGCTACTCCACACACTCCCATAGGCAGACAGGTGACACAGGCAGGCTGAGAGGTAGGTTGAAGAGTAAGGGAGTCTGGGAGTGGGACCTGGGGTCTCCCTGGTGGCTCCCCAATGCAGCAGACCTCCAAATGCAATGCTTGTGTATTTCTGCACATCACAGCAGATGAGACTTTAAGAGATCACAGAAACATGACCGTGAAGAGAGGCCTCAGCAGGTGGTACAGGGCATGTTACCATGATGCCAGGCTCTGTGCCCCCACTCTCACCCCAGAAACCACTACCAGGCCCTAGGCAGGCACATACTGTCACATACACGTGGCTGACCTGTCACCTCTCTCTTCTGTACAGAGCTGAGTCACCTACTAGGGTGTGGAGCATTTCAAACAGGAATCCACAGATTGACGGATGCTCCCCCTTCACCCCGCAAGAGAACAGCACTCCTCCAGTCTTTGTGTACCCTGTGGGGTACCACAGCAGTGCCCCATAGATGACAGGCACATTGTGTACCTTTTACCTCTCCACACCTGTGCGCACCTTCATCTCCCAAACATGACTCCCATGAGCCATGCCAGGCTCTGGGGACGCAGGCCAAGACAGCCCCTGGCTCACAGCATCCATAATTTATTCCCCAGAAGGTCTGTGAAACTGCCAAATTCCTATAGTAAATTTTGCCCAGCCTCGATGATGCTGAGCCTCCCAGAGCCGTTTGCCAAGAACGAGGTTCAGAGCAGGCAATAATCAACACATCTTTTAAGTCAGCTGGCTGTGACTGCCAGTCACATGCAGGGGCAAAGGATGGTTGCAATTCAAATGTCAGAAGCCCTTGATGTTGTCAGGACAACCCAGGACTCAGAAACAACTCCATGCAAGGTTTTCCATGGGCGCATTTATTTCTTGCGAGTTCAGTCAAGTTGCAGCCATGTGTCTCCAAAGGAACCTGCCTGGGGCAGTGCAGGGCAACACCTGCTTCTAAAGTGCTGCCCATGAATACAATCATTGTCACTGACAGGACCACAGGCCACTGCAACGGCCACCCAACCCCTTTCACACATCTGGGAAGCTTTGCTCTCATTGTCTTTGTGAGACAGGTTCACCATGACACTGAGGCAGAAAAGCAGTGTATAGGCCTGGAGGATCATGGGTCTCCACGCCACCATCAGTGAACCAGGTGCCTTGGTGTTTCTAACAGTGCTTACACACAGGACATTTTACACAAAGAGCTTGCACTGCTGGGTTTGACAGTATCTGTCCCTATGCAGGTGCATAGGTCCATTAGGTCTTTGCTGGTTTTGGTTGGCTGGGATAGTGGGGACAATGCCTGGTCCATGTCAGTACCCAGATCTCTTCCCGTGCAATGAAGATGGATTTTTACTCCCATCATCCAGCAACTTGTACTCTGAAAGTTCAAGATGGACAGCCCCAAGCTTATGACTCAGAAAGCACTACTCTGGGTGGTAGCATTGTAAACAAATCTCCCTTTCAGGTCCAGAAGAAAATTCAAATTTTCTTCTGTTAGATGTGGCCGAGAAAACCCAAGAAAAATCTGAACAGGCACCCGATTTGGAACTGGTCAGCAGTGGATGGCTAAGCAGCCATGGCCACGAAGGATGGCTGGTTTTGAACTTAAACTGAGATTTAAAATAAAGTGCTTTGTCTGAATTCTCTTGCTCAAGCAGGTTTTCAAGTGGAGCAAGAGAGCCCTACTTTTGTCATTGCTACATCAACACACACACTGAGAGAGAGAGAGAGAGAGAGAGAGAGAGAGAGAGAGAGCACACACAGAGAGAGAGAGAGAGAGAGAGAGAGAGAGAGAGAGAGAGAGAGAGAGAGAGAGAGAGGAGAGCACTCGTATCCGTCCCTGGATGAAGGTTACAGCCAAATCTTTAAACACAGCAAAAATAATGTGGCCAGCTCAGTCTGACCAACCTGAGATCTGCTTCCAGATTCCAGACACACAGCACATGGGTGTTCACAAGGAATCGCTTTTAAACTAGCACTCTGCAAACATTTCATCAAGACAAAAAACAAAGGCATGAAAGTATACAAAGGTGAAGGGGCAGAGGGGACTGACACAGTGCTGCTGGTACCTGGCACATAATCTTCAAGGGCCTTCACTTTAATGACATTCATTTCATCATAAATATCCTACATCACAAACACACATGGATAGATACAACAGCTTGGAGAAGAGACTTCACAGTGTTGGGATGGCTGTTTTCTCAGAGCACACCGCAAGGCCACCCATTGGCTCTCTACATCCCCTGTACTCTGTGCTGCTTTAGAGTTCTGGAGACCTGGAAAAGGCCGCTCAATGGAGACAACCCCTGACAAAGCAGGTGTTAGACACGGTGGGAAAGGAGCAGGCTCCTTAGGTTGGGGCGGTTAAAGGCATTTGCTCTTTTGTTGTTGCTGAGTGAGGAAGTGTGACCCAACATTCTGACACCATCACATAAGCAAACCGAACCTACCAAAATTTCAAAACCAAACAAAGCAACACAACTCCTCTAGGCTGAGCATCCCTAACCCCCAAATCCTAAATCCGAAGCTTTTTGTGATTGTACTGTTCAAAGTTTCATATTTCTGAGAGGTTTGGAGTTTAGAGTTTGGGGTTTAGGGATGCTCAACTGGTTAAAAAAAATAATCTACGGAATATTCCAAAATCCAAAAGAAGTGTGCAACAGTTCTGGCCCCAAGCATATTGGATAAGTCTAAGCCTACACTAAACAGAGATAATCAGAATCGAAGTTTCTGACACATAACAGCGTCTTAGAATTGATTGCTGCATGTCACATGTCTGTACACCATATGAAATAATAAAAGTATCTCATGTAAAACTCAGCATTTAAGTGATTTCCACTCCCCAAAAGAGAAATGGTGACTACTGGCTTCGGGGGCCAACTTGGTATAAATGCATTCTGGAACTTTGTAGTGAGTAACATTAGAATGTCATCTTCAAACACAAAGTGCGTTTAAAAGGTCACTTGATGCCGGTGGCACTCGCCTTTAATCCCAGCACTCGGGAGGCAGAGGCAGGCAGATCTCTGTGAGTTTGAGGCCAGCCTGGTCTACATAGTGAGTTCCAGGACAGCTGGAGCTACAGGGAGACCCTGTCTCAAAAAAGACCGAAAAAAAAGGTCACTTGATAATTCCTTGGGGTTTTCTCCTCTTCTGTTTTATTTGAGAAGGGGTCACATTATGTAGTCCAGTCTAGCTTTTAAGCTGGCATCCTCCTCCCTCCACCTTCTAAGTGGAGGATTGCAGGCCCACACCACTACACCCAGCAAAAACTTTTAGATGCTTATTTGTAAGTAAAGTCTCACTGGGCCTGGTGGCTGAGGCCCATGCTTCCAGCCACTTGGAAGACTGAGGCAGGAGACTCACCGCATGTTTGGTCGACAATGTGAATCCAAGTCCAGGGCAACCTGGGCAACTTAGACTCTAGCTCAAAAATAAAAAGTTAAAAGAGGGCTGGAGTTGTAGCTCAGTGGACAATGCTTGTCTAGCACACAGAAGGCTCTCGGTTTAACCCCCAGGACTGGGGAGAAGGAACAGAACACAGGAAAAAGGAAAGATTTCTAATGAGCTTTTCTAATCTTTCTCCCAAAAACAGGGAAGAAAAAATCAAGACATTCCTGTAACTTGGGCTTTCATGGACATTTTTGGTCATCACAAGTCACCCCCTGAAATACATGTTTAGGATTAACAGAATAGAGGGAAGGTGCTCACTCAACCTCATGTCAGTAACACAAGTCACGTCTGCATATTCGCCTTTTCAATGCTGTGTCAGAAATGGATCTTATTAAATGGTCAGAATGCCCCACCCCACGACAACAGCTCTCTGTGAGCCTGCCTTCCAAAGGCAGCGTATTCAAAAGGCGTAGAGTGCCTTGATGTCCGCATGAACCCACCCAGCCGGGCATGCAGATGAGGACAGTGGTCTAATGGATCTCGGGGGATAGGATACTGGGTGCTAAGTTTATCATTTTCTTACCGTAAACCAAAATAAGGACACCCCACAATGTGGCCAGAAGCTCCTGTTCCCAGAATTCTGAAAAGCCCATAAAAATAACTTCCTGCAAGTTTGGCCCATTTGTTATTAAACTTCCATGCCTAAGACTAACTGGCACCTGTGATGCAAAGTAATGTCCTCGGTTGCCCTGAAAATTCTTTGCTTTGGTTGCTGGCAATATTTGGCAAGAACCATATGTGTGTGTGTGGTGATGTCCTGTAAGCTGCCACCCGCTGCTCCCGGGGACCTTCATCAGGTTCGGTGAGTTCTTGCTTAGTGTTCTTCCCATGCCATGGGTATGAACAGAGCCCCCGACGTGAGAGATAATGAAACTGCATCGATCTCAGACACTTCCACTTGCAAGTAGATGCTGAGTAAGCCTGGGAAAGTGTTCTGCATAAAGCATAGGATGTATTTAGTGTTTGCATAATGACCTTTTCAACATCTATGGCTAATATGAAAGGCAAATGCCTTCTTAACTTGTCAAAGCATGTCTTCTCCTATTATACTTTCTGCATGGATCAAAATTCCTGCCTATATTCATCTCCCTGTCCCCAGGACCAGGCGCACTTTTTAATTCTAAGCAGCAAGTTAGGTAAAGCAGCCCTCCATCCTGTTCATAGCCACAGTCCAGAGGGACACCTCTTCCTGGTGTCACAGTCCAGATGTGGACCCAGGTCCCTGCTGGAGAGGAGTTGGTGACCTGGGGTCCCTCAGGCCTGCTGTGCAGTAAATCAGAGCCCACAGCTTCAGTTGCACAAGTCTCCTATTCCATTTCGACCCTTAGATCATGGCAATAGCTGGAGCCAGCTGGTCTGAGCATCTGATGGTAAACTGGACTGTGTCAGTCCTTTTCGGGGGAAGCCCCCTAGCTGGAGACCCAGATTGCTTTTCTCCCTTTAAAAGACAGCAGGAGCCAATGGCTAGATGTCCTGGTGAGGACTGCCCCTGTTCTCCAGCTTTGTGGGCAGTGGGCGATAGGGCTATGTGCAGGGCTCCCCAGGGGCTCCGTTGATGGTGTCTTTGCCTCTGTGCCTGGCGAGCAGCTTCTTGTTCAGGAACCGGCTGAGGGTTGCCCCCTTCCTCCGAGGCCCCACCTGGGGCTGCAGGAACACCAGGTCATTATGTGACTGGCTCATGCCTGGGTCTTTCTGCTGATGCCGTCGACGGAAGAAGAGCTTGGCGCCTTTCCTCAGGATTCCTCCTGTAAGAGGGGAGCACAGGGGTGGTCAGGGGCCATGAGGAGGACCAGCCTGTGGGCAAGAGGAAGCAAAGACACTAGACACCTGTAACAGTCAGACCTTTCCCCAAAGAGCGGCTGCTGGTTGCTGCCCACAAGAGCAAACACAGCAACCCAGGTTGTGGGAGACCACTTTTCAGGGTGAAATGAAGCATTTCATCCGTATGTGTGGCATGCCTACAGGCTGGGGAGAAACTCCCTGCCACTTCAAGGGCAGGCAGGCTGGGATCCCGCCTAGCCTCCTCCCTTCACTAGGAAGGGTGTGATGGCAAGTGTACTGTGCACCCAGGAAGGAGGGAGACACTCTGACAAGCTAAGAGCCTGGGAACTCAAGGGCTTATGTTCTCAGTAAAGTAGTGTTCGTTGGGGAGTAAGATTTATTTTTCAAAAAAACATTAACTCCACAGACTGGAGAGATGGTCAGCGGTTAAAAGCACTGACTGCACACAGTGTGGTGGTGCACACCTTTAATCCCAGCACTGGGGAGGAAGAGGCAGGCGGATCTCTGTGAGTTCAAGGGCAGCCTGGTCTACATAGCCAGTGCCAGGCCAGCTGGGGCTACAGGGAGACCCTGTCTCAAAAAGACCAAAAAAACCCCAAAAAAATACCATGTATTTATTTTATGTGTATGAAGTGTTTTTGCCTACATGTAAGTGCACCTGTGTGCAGTGCCCACAGAGGACAGAAGAGGGCATCGGATGCCCTGGAACTGGAGTTATGGAAGGTTGTTATGTGCCATGTGGGTGCTGAGAATGGAACCTAGGTCCTCTGCAAGAGCAGCCAGTGTTCTTAACCGCTGAGCCAGACATTACGTCTATTTTATCAGTCTATCTATTCCCACACACTCATCCATATCAAATTTGTTAATTGCTCTTTTTCAAACTATAAAACCTCATGCTGGGCTGGGGCTGTAACTCAGTGGGAGACTACTTACCCAGTTTATTACAAGATCCATCCTCAGCACAAAAAAGACAAGAAATCGAGAAAGGAAAGCAACCCCAATTGTGTGAGCACGGACGGCAGGTCCAGGATGGAGAACAAGGAGCGGCACCCAGTGTGGTACCAGTACTTCCTGATGGGCAGGCTCCAGCTGGCACACAGGGACCAGAACCCTCATCATCACTTTTCCACACATTAGTTTAGCATCCTAACAATCAAGGCCTAGGACGGCCAGGGGGAAGGTAGGAAGGAAGCCAGTAAAGTTCATTACCATTTGTATGGAGGCGCTAAGGACTTAGCAAGAGAAGCAGCCAATTGAGATTTGTCTGTTCCACATGTGACACACACGCACCACCTCCGCTGTTCACGGAGAGGATGGAGAACAGAAGCACGTGCCCACGTATGAACCGTGCCAACATGCTGGCATCGGAGGGTAGGGAGGAAACCTGCGTGGAATCACCATCGCCATCCCAACCTTAGGGACGACCTCCCCTCGTCCTGTTGGCAAAACAGAGATGCTGTAGCGCTCCGAAGGGCTGAGCTAATTTAATCTGGACAAAGCTGTCAGAAAACATTTAAAAAACTCTTAAAAACAAATTGCCTGACATGAAGCACCATTAGGGTAGAGTTTCACAATTATCTGGCAGGAGCCATACGCTGGGATCTGGGAGATGTTGGGTAGAAGATGAAGAGGGGTCAGAACAGTGTGTTGATGTCTTTGCTCCAGCCACAGGCCTAGTGGGATGTCACATCTCCAAGTGGTCAACCCTGCAAAGCACAGGTTAGAGTGCAAGGATGGACGGACTGACCTCCAGCTGGATGTGAACCGGAGTTTGGCCTGTGTGGGGGGCACAGAAACACTCAGATGGCTAATTCTCTTGTATTAAGAGCAACTGCCAAGCACAATAACACAATTTTCAAATGGGGCAGGGAGGGGGGAAAATTCTCTCCCTGATTTTAGTTCACCGTATAGAAAAAAAAAAAATCACAAGACTGAAGTATAAAGAAATACACAAAGGGATTTTTAAGTCACTTTAAAATATAGTTCTGTCATCACGTACTTCTGAATTTATCCTATGTATGTCTGAAGAGTAACAGATATAAATGGCTAATTGAAAAAAATATTTCAGTTAAGTGTGGTGGTGCACACCTTTAATCCCAGCACTTGGGAGGCAGAGACAAGCGGGATCTCTGTGAGTTCAAAGGCCCGTCTGGTCTACACAGTGAGTTCCAGGCCAGCTGGGCTACAGGGGGACCCAGCTTTGCTCTTTTTAGTCTTAAAAAAAAAAAGAAAAGGAAAAAATAGCTCTTACAATTCAGTGTGAGGCCAGGCACAGCAGAACACGCCTTTAACTTTAAGCCTAGCCCTTGAGGAGACAAGCAGAGGCAGGCTGGCTGGTCTCTTGAGAGTTCAAGGCCAACCTGAGTTTCAGGCCAGCCAGGGGGACATAATGAGATGCTGTCTTTACAAAAAACAAACAAAAACAAAAAGCAAAACACTCCCCCCACCACCACCACCAAAGAAATGACAAAACCTAGAACCTGGTATGTGGGAAAACAGCAGTCAAAAAGTACCTGAAAACTTTGCTTTGATGCCTCGGACCAGCCTCATCCAAACCCCACAGATGGCTCATTCTCAGAAGTGATTACTTGCTAGGAAAGGAGCCCAATGACGGGCCCCTGCCAGGCTCGCCCCCCTCCAGCCAGGCTGCCTTGGTGATACCTCCCTGAAGCCAGCACAGCGAGATGGCTTCATACCCTCAGTGACAGGAAGTGTGCTCGCCTGATGGTCAAGAAGGTGACCGTCTAAACTGGGTCGGACCCAGGACCACAGAAGACCAGCAGCCAGGGGTGGTCAGGGTGGCCAGCAGCAGGAGGGCAGCAGAGAGCCTTCCACTCCGCTGGGCACTGTCCTCATAGTACAGAGACACAGACTCGAAGACAAAGGACAAGAGTGACTTACTGTGTTGGCAACCACAGGGCAGCACAGCGATCCTCTTAAGCTAGGGAAAGCGAGCATGAGACAGATGTTCGGAGGCAAAAGGAACAGGCTTGAGAGCCAAATCAGAACGAGAGTAAGAGTTTGGAATCATTGGCATCACACGCTCATGCACACACACATATACATGCTCACACATGCACGGTACATATGCACCCGCATACACACGTGCACACTCACACATAAATGTGTACACACAGATGCTCACATATCTGTACGTGTGCTCACATACTTGTACACATGTGTGGTATGCCCACTTGTACACACATGTACATGCACACACAAGTGCACACAGACCTATATACATGTGCTCACATTTGTATATACATGCATGTACATGTGCACACAGAAGTGCACAGAGACCTGTTTACACATGTCCTCATACTTGTACATGGTTGTGTATACATATGCACATACAAGTGTACATGCACCCACGGGCACACAGACCCATGTACCCTAATGCTCACATGCATGTGTGCACATATATGCATGCACATGTGTACACATGCAGATACTCTTGTGCATATGCATGTGCGCATGCTCACCTATTCTCATACACATGCACATAAATTTACATATGAGCATGCACACATCATATGCACATGCACATATACGTGCATTCACGTACATATGCACGGCTGCTATGCAAGACATTTGGCAACATTTCTTTCCGGTTTTTCCTCACACCTCCTTGAGCCTCTGTGACCAAGCACACAGCTCCAGCTTCGCCATGTGCTTAGGCCGATGTGCACAGTTCCCAGCACACTTGTGCTGTTGGGCAGCTCCGCAATACTCACCCCCCCACACCAGTGCTAGGAACAAATCCAGGGCCTCGCACACGCCAGGCAAGCACTCTACCACCGCACCACACCCTCAGCCAGTGCTCTTTGAAATAAAAGTACATCTGAACTTGGGGAAGTGATTTCCTGTACTGGCTACAGCATCATAATCTGTAAATTCCAGTTACACGGGCACCCCCAGCACCCTCAGCCTCCTCACTACACCAGAAAGTTCGAGTGTTGATGAGCCACCAGGGGAACCTTGGCTGATAAAGAGGGCAAACTCCACTAAGCCGTCCCCATAGCGCCAGTTTTGAAAAATATTTGGCATAAACTGAAAACGGTTTGGCCAGCCAGCACAGACCCACTTAAGAGCCTGCCCATGTCTCACGGGCTGCTTAGTGCAGAGCTTCTGGAAACTTCAGGATGGAAGATGTGTGTGTGTGTGTGTGTGTGTGTATGTTCGGTACACTTGTGCACGCATCTATGGAGGCCAGAGGTTGATGTGTCTTCCTCCGTCATTCCCCACGTTTTCTGCCAGCCTCTCCCACTGAATCTGGAGCTCACCAACTGGCTAATGTAGATGCCAGAGCTCCGGGGATCCTCCTGTCTCAGCCTCCACCGGCACCGGGGTTATGGGTGTGTAAGCTGCCACGCCCAAGTTTGCATGGGTGCTGGGGATCAGAACACAGGTCTTCATACACCCCCAGTAAGCACTTTATCCACTGAGCCCCTAAAAATAATTTTTAAAATGTTGCCAAATCTCTTCTTTGAGAAAACCTTGGGTCAGGGCAGTGCATGGGCAGCAGGGCAGGTTTGGCCTCAGCCCCTGCAGTACCCAGGAGAGAGACACAGACGGCCACACATCCTTGTGCCTCCCCAAATGCCCAGCCTCTGGGGAAGCTGTCATGCACAGGGGGGACCCTCAGCCCCCAGAGAACCTGCCACACACCCAGACCCCCAAATAGCATTCATCTGCCTGGCCAGTAAGAGGGGTGCAGGATGGTAGGTGCACAGGAGGGAACCCAGGGGAGACTCAGGAGGAAAGCAGAATAGGTTCAGCAGGAAGGGCTGGGAGGAGGGAGAACAGCAGCTGATGCCCAGGGGTCAGTCTGGCATCTCTCAGGGAACAGAGAGGGTGAGACAGGAGGTTTGCGTACTTCAGAAATAAGAAGAAATGGACCGTCTAGTCAAGGAAGGGTGAGCACAGGGCAGCTCCACGTGTCCCTGTTCTTCCTGCTCACTGATCTCAGCTCCACCCTCCCTGAGGCTTCTCTGGCCCCAGGACAAAGACCAGGCCACAGTGTGTGTACATGGGGTGGCCACCTGACAACCTGGGCTACAGTCCCATGGAAGGAACAAGGGGTTTGCTGGGGTCTGGCATGCAGACTGCACAGCCCAATGTGTGTGCCCAAAGGACACAGGCTCATACAGGTCTCCAAGGCCAGGAGGTGGGGAGATGGAGGCTGGGTGGTCTGAGACCTTCCCCAGGAATCCCTTTCTCTTTCCTCTTTTAACTTTCAACTTTCTCCCACTCGTCTGAACTTGGCACTGGCAGGGTTCACAGGCAAACAGCAACCCACCACTGGTTAAGGGGCAGGTGCGGGGGCACAGCACCACAGGCCCGATTCTCAACCTCAGCACCTGGACCTAGTGCTCCACCCTGAGGCAGTGCCTGCTGTGTGCTCTCAGGTCTGTGGTAGCACCTGTGTGTCCCACCCACTAGAGGCCAACAGCACCCCCAGCTCCCAGTTGTTGATGCCACGTCTCCAGATATTACCTATGTCCTCCAAGGAGCTGCCTAGCAGGAGACCCACCTGTCTCTAGCTTCTAGAAAAAGGGGCAGACCACGGCCACAGAGCAGCTAGTAATGAGTCCTAACCCCTGGCACTCGTGTGTTCGGGAAGTCCTGAGGACTCTGCTGAAGGGACACAGGCGTGGGTGCCCCAGAGAGGAAGCGGGGCTGGATGCTAGGTTCCACCATGGCTCCTGGCTTGACTCGGGTGTACCCTTCACCCTGATCCTGCCTCTTCCACTGAGACCCCCTCGGTCGTGTTCTGTGTGCAAGGACACAGGTAGTGGGCATAGTCCCCACAGTCACGAAGGAAGCTGAGGTTCAGTGGGTCTGAAGACCCTAAGTCCCAGGACTGTGTCCCCAAGGTGACCTGGATGCACAGGTCTGGGACAAACTGTCCACTCCCAAGAAACAGGCAAAGGCTTTGGAAAATAATTATGCTAATGAATGACCCCATTCCTACAGGCAGGTCTAGTCAGTGAGGAACTATGCCAGGGGATTCTTTCCCTGTAGGTCCTGCTGGGTACAGGTGGTGGGGTCTGGTTTGGTTCTTACTGGAGGGAGAGACAGGGGAGCAGGTGAGATAGCTGCCAACATCTGCATCCTCTGCTGCGTCCCAGCCACCACAGCACCTGGCTCCTGGGGACCCTCTGAAGCCTTGGATAGCTGTTTCCAGGTGGAGAGAGCCAGACAGGGAAGGTATCCAGACACAAGAGCACACACAAGTCCACAAATGCAGAGACGAAGCCCATGCAGGCTTCCCACCGGCCTCACGCTCTCAGTATCTGCCCAGGACAGGCGGAGAGGGAGGGAGCAAGGCTGGGATGGGCTCATGGACCACAGGAAGGGAAGCAGACGAAGAGGAACGAAACAGCAGGAGGCCAGCACTGGAGCGAGGCCACGGCCACTGTCGGGGAGGCCGCAGGGGCAGGATGGGGACACAGGAGCAGGTACCTTTATGCTTCTTGGTGGCCCCAAGCTCCGAAGCACTCAGGGAGCTCTCTGACAGTTCATCTCCATCAAACCCCTGCAGGGCTGGGCCAATCCACGCTGCTGCTGAGGACTCCTTGTCCTGGACCCAGGATTCCAGCTCGTTTTCCTGGGGTTCGAGGGCAGGTGGGGCCTGGGCTGGCTCATCTTCGGCAGGGCGGGCAGGGGCAGAGGCTGCAGCTGCCTCCGGGGGGCATGGGGCGACTGAGGCACCCCCCTGGTGGGTGCCGTCCATAGAAGACGCATAGTCCAGCATGAGGGCAGCATCGTGGTCCTGAGATAGCGAGGTCTGTCGAGGGAGACAAACATCAGAGACGAGAGCAAATGAAAAGCCAGCACGGGGAGGTAACCGGGGTCCACGGTAGGCAGGGAGGGTTTGGTACCACCTGAGCATCACACGCCAAGGCACTGTGACTGGAGATATTGAGCAGTAACGGGGACACCTGACCCTCAAGAAGACCCTGTGATACATGGCAGATGCTTCAAACAGGCCTCCACCCTAGCTGAGGCTCAGAGCCACCCAACAGAGAGGCCGGCCTGGAGCACACAGGCTGGGTGTGCACCCTTCTCCCAGCAGACCGTGCCAGTGCTGAAGTCCAAGGGGTGAGAGGTTAGGACCACTGCTTCCCAGGGACCTAGAGCTGCAGACGGTTGTCAGCCACCATGTGGGTGCTGGGAATCGAGCCCAGGTCAGCCAGTGCTCTTAACCGCTGAGCATCTCTCTGGTCCCCACTGTATCTGTAAAATCACACACTCAACTAACGGGTTGGGAGCAAAGTTAGGACAGTGGTTCAACGGGACCGTGAAAGGGGCGCTGATCACGACACTCCCAGCCTGGGTGGCAGTTACACGGGTGGCCTTGCTAAGTGATGGCTGGCAGTGATGAGCCGGCCTGAGAAGTGCCCACTGACTGCTAATGGGACAGTCTGTGCATCAATGAAACTAATAATCAGAGTGGACTGCAGATATTAAACACAAAGATTAGGAGGCTTATGATTCTAAAATAAAGCTGGAAAGTAGAGTTGACACCCTGGGTCTTATCTTTCCCTTTTTATTTATTTATCTCAGACTGACTAAAAGCTTCAAGTCCTCAGCTCTAGAGGCCCCAGGGACTGCCCCCATTGGCTGTCAGGGGAAGTGCACACAACACTCCAAGCAGAGACACTGCCTGCCTACCCCATATTCAAGGCCACCTGCGAGCTGGCCCCTGGGGACCTGGACCCAGGCCGCCCACACACCAGATGCAGTGACAGCTCTGGTAGCCATTGGCACCTGTCAGCAATGAGAAGCTGGTTTGCAGAGTGCTCTCCTGCCCACCCTCAGTGATCTGGGAGGATCCAACCTGCCCATCCCAGCCATGTCTATTCCATCTTCCTCCTGATCTATCTCTCGCTGAAAATCAGAACCTCTCAGCCTTCTCCACTTTGGGAGATACTGAGAAAGAGCAGGGCCTCCTGCACGGTGCCTTGTGCTAAGGACTGCCCACAGGGCAGCCACGGGCGGCTCTCACCCATCTCTTGCTCCTTGCAAACACTGCAGAAGGAAAGGGGAGAGTGGGGGAACGGAAGCGTTCATGCAGCAATCTTTATTTCTATCCTGTAATGAAGAGGAACAGACACTCACTGCAAAAAATCAAAATGCTTTGGAAATGACTCACGTGGAAATACGCAAGCAGGCAGACGAGGAGTCTGCACCACTGCTGTCTCGCACCGCATCTCTCTTTTTCTCTTAGTAACTGGTCTTGAAATGATTCGCCAACCTCTCAACACTTAGCGCACCACGGATCAGATGCCCGTGAGCTTCCTGTACCAACAGGGCAAACTGCAACTGCAGTTCCAGAGGCAGCTAAGCCCTCTTGGGGAGGACCGGAATTAGACTCTGCAAAGGGGGCTTTCTGGTGCTGAGGGACCGTCTCAGCCCCTCGGAGGTGCCATGCTGGGAGCCACAGGCCACATGCCTCCAGCCTAGCTGCCCTCACCCACCTTGGAGATCCCTGAAATGATGAGCGTGCTCTTCTTCCGAGGCGACTTGAGCTTCAGCTTTGAAGACTCACTGAGCTGTCGAATGGCAACTTCAGCCACTGGATCTGAGCCATTCAACACCAACAGATCTACCGGGGAAGGCAGGGTCAAGTTCAGGGCAACAATGAAAAGCTCCACAGGAACTCTCAGGGAAGGGGAGGGGACCCAGGGTAAGTAGCGGGCAGCACATACTTGGCTGAGGCTCTGCAGCCCTCTTCCCTGTTGAAGCAGTCAGGGGCCATACACAAACGAACAGGCAAGGAGGGGGAGGTTCCATAAAACTTTATCCACAGGAACACGGATGGGCCACCTCCGGCCCATAAGCCACAGTTTTTGGCTTTCATTTGCAACTTGTCTCTGTCCGCTGTTTTGGTTGCAGCTACGCAAAAGTAACTGATAGTGGCGACCAGAGCGCCGAGGAAACTAAACATGCTTAACAGACAGTTTGAGACAAAGCGCGGTGTCTGGATGATGCTGTCCTGAGCTGTCTAAAAAACATCATCCGGGCACTGAATGGTGGGAAAAATACCCCTCAGGAAGTTTCACAGTGGGTCTCCCTGAGGTCCCCGCTTGTTTGGATAGCGTGCTCCACAGAGCCAGCAGGGACAGTGCATGGCTCTCTTCCCTCACTCACCTTTTTATATTCCATTTAATACCCAAAATAAAAATCTTCCAGACTCAAAATAGCAGTCTTTACTCCTCGGTGCATGTAAGGCTGAGAGGGTGAGCTCGAAGGTGCTGAGATGGAGAACCGACGGCATCTTACCTGTGTCTGAAGAGGAGAAAGTCTTGCTGACAGGTGCACTGTGGCAGGAGATGGCCTGGACGGAGATGTCCTTCTCGATGACCTTCACTTTGATGGGTGTCTTCACAGGAGACTCTGCAAGAACAAGACTCCGTCACCAGGGCATGCAAATGCTCAACTGAAGGTTCTAGAACCCGAGGTTGTCTCTGTTGTACCTTGAGGCCAGGCAGTTAGTCGGTACTGGCCAGAGCTAAGCCTTAAGATTTACACCTTTATTATTTCATGGTGGAGGTAAAGGGAGGGCTCGCAGGGGCTGGAGAGACAGCTCGGTGGTTAAGGGCACTGCCTGCTCTCAAGGAAGACCTGAGTTTGTGCCCACATGGTGGTTAACAACCAACCACAACTCCAGTTCCAGAAGATCAAGGCTCTGCTCTGAGGTAATGAGCACCCACATACACATATACATACATGCAGGCAAACACTAAGACACATACCGTTAAAAATAAAAACTTTAAAATATTTTATTAATTATTTTTATTTTATGTGTATGAGTATATTGCCTGCATATATGTAATGTACACCCATGTCATGCAGTATCTGCAGAGATCAGAAGAGGGCATCAGATCCCCTGGAACTGGAGTTACAGACAGTTGTTAGCTGCATATGGGTGCTGGGATATGAACCCAGGTCCTCTGCAAGAGCAGACAGTGCTCTTAACCACTGAGACATCTCTACAGCCCCTAGTACTCTTTTTAAATTAGTTAGAATTGAAGAAAAAATTTTCCCAGTGTTTGCTCTAGGCCTGAGGTGCTTTTAAAGAATTTTAAACATATTTATTTATATATGTGTGCACATGTAAGAGTCTCGAGTATTCATGTGGAAGTTGGAAAATAGCTTGCAGGAGTTGAGTTCTCTCACCTTGTGGGCTCAGGGATTGAACTCAGATCATGAGGCTTGGCAGCAAACACCTTTACCTGCTAAGCTATCTGCCGTCCAAGGCCTCAAATTTTTACATGTTCATTATATGTAGTGCTTCTCAGTTCAGTCCCCAATTCGTATTTCGCTCATGCTGTTGAGTTTACCATAGCACGGCGTCTATAAAAATGTGTCTGTACGTGGAATCATGTAGTGTTTTTTGGAATGATATGCCAGAGGGGAGGGTCATGGCTTAATCTCTACCACCCATCTGTGTGAACGTAAAGCTTATAGGAAAGATAAACATGTGTATCTTTGGGAATCATGGGAATTCCTGGAAACAGTGAGTGACATGATTAAGTGGGAGACAGAGTTTGTGCCCCTCCATCGGGGAAGAGGGAGCTGTGGGTGGTTGTCTGGACAAGTGGGGGTAATGTTTAAAAAGGAATCTTCTGGAAAGGGAGGAAACCTACGAGCTGTAAAGCATCTACTGCCCTCCCAGGCCTGTAAGTGACCAGGCTGGCCCCATGGGGAACCCACAGAAGGGGGGAGGTATCCGTGCAGTTGCAGGCCCCACAGTGACTGTAAGTGAACAGGCAGGCGCCACAGTGACCCTGTGGAAGGGGGAGGGTTTGCTTGTATCTCTGGGTGTGCAGTTTAGAAATGCAAGATTTACTAAGATACTGAATATACCCACTCCGTGTTCTGGGTTTCTTGATTCTAAAGGGTGTGTGTGTGTGTATGTACATATATAACCACAGTGCCTGTCAGTTGTGCATCTGTGTTGGTAACAGTTTTATTAAGATCTACACAGTCTCTAATAACAAGAGTACAATATAAATACCAGGGAACGACATTATTCTGCACTGCCCAAGGAATCACAATTTTAAAGGCTGTACGTGTTCAGTGTACTTGCAGGGTTTTGTTCTGATATTTTCAGTGTGGTTGGTTGACTCTGCAGATGAAGATGTTGCAGACACAGCGGCAGCTGACTCAGCAACAATACACAGTCTCTAATAACAAGAGTACAATATAAATACCAGGGAACGATATTATTCTGCACTGCCCAAGGAATCATAATTTTAAAGGCTGTACGTGTTCAGTGTACTTGCAGGTTTTCTTCTGATATTTTCAGTGTGGTTGGTTGACTCTGCAGATGAAGATGTTGCAGACACAGCGGCAGCTGACTCAGCAACAACACACTGGCTTTCTTTGTAACAACCACTGGTTTCTTCACCCTGCTTTACTTAGTATCTTTTACCAACCTGGGCTGGCATAGACCTAGGGGAGCCAAGCTCCAACTCATCAAACCCACATCACACCGGCAGAGGAGACTTTAAAAGGAAGGCACCAGCCGGGCGTGGTGGCGCACGCCTTTAATCCCAGCACTTGGGATGCAGAGGCAGGCAGATCTCTGTGAGTTCAAGGCCAGCCTGGTCTACATAGTGAGTTCCAGGACAGCTACAAGGAGACCCTGTCTCAAAAAGACCAAAAAAAAAAAAAAAAAAAGAAAGGCACCTGAGTTGGCCATGAGGAAACATCACTTCCCAGGGTGGCGGACTCAACCCAGTCCCTGGAAAGATGAATCCATGCTGAGAACAGGGCCTCCCTGGATGAGCCCAGAGTGTCACATGGAAGTAACACTGAGCTGTGACAGGCAGGACACAGATATGCAGCAACAGGAAACACACAGTCATACCTCAGCAGTGACCGAGCCCAACATGGCGCTGCCAGAGGTGGGCACGCTGGTCAGAGTGAAGCTCTGTGGGCCGGAAGGCTGCTTCCTAAATAAGTCCAGGGGAATGGCCGCCGTCCCTAGCAGACCTGGAGTGAAAGACAAGAAGGAGCAGGAGAGGCGTGTCCACCGCAGTGCACCTCAGGGATGTCCTGTCAGCACTTACTGCAAATGGGCATTCGAGAGGGAGCGAGGCTCAGGCCACGTCTGTCAGAGGCAATAACCAACCCAGAGGGGAAAGGAACGGCTACAGCCATCTTTGGACCACTGACAAAAGCTGGAATATAGAGAATGGAGGTAACTGTATCCACACTAATGAAGATGCCAAGTGCTATGAACAGAAAGAGGAATGTCCTAATTCTGAGAAAATACACTCGAAAGGATGGAGGGGTCAAGGGTGTAAGTTGTGTGTGTGTGTGTGTGTGTGTGTGTGTGTGTGTGTGTATGAGAGAGAGAAAAGTAAGGACAAGTCAAAGACAGAGAAATAGAGAGAGGGAGGAGATGGGGGCAGAGATGGGGGAGGAGGATCACAACTAATTGTGAACATGGAGACTTCAGACATAGGACAGATGTTAAAAACGTGCATTAAAACACGGGCCGCATGGGCACCCTCTGCCCTGTCTTTGTAAACCTGTATTTTCACAGGCTCTATCAGGCTGGTCTGGAATGGAGCACGGTGGGCCAGGAGGGGTAGGGACCAGGAGGGAAGAAAAGCTAACTGTGGCCCTACTCAGGGCAGCCCACACATCTACTCAGGGAAGGGAAGGTCTTGTCTCACCACCACTGTTGCAGAACTCTTACTGGTAACTAGGACCTGGCCAGCTGGTTAGGAGAAGGGACTGTCCCAACTTCAGGGGATAGCTAAGACTCAATGGTAGGGCTAGACCAGCCAGGGGGCAGTCCCTCCTTTCCCAACTTTATTGTGTTTAAGGGATTTTAAAACATCCAGTAGGACTTGCCTGTAGCTCAGTGGTTGAGAACTTGCCTAGCATGCTAAAGGCTCTGGGTTCGATTCCCAGTACAGCAAAGGGCCACTGAAAGGGCTCGGGGAATTAAGGTGCTTGCTCTCAAGCCTGAAAAGCCAAGTTCAAACCCTAAAAACAAAATTTTAAAAAATTTTTTATTAAGAATCTAATGAATACTGAAAGTACCGCTGTATATGCCTAGGCACACATTCAAGTCCACATTCCCATCAGTGACTTAAAGGGGAAGTGTTGCTTTCCTGTGTCTGAATCATGCATCCGACTTAAATTAAGCCCAAGTGTCTTATTCCATAAGGTCACAGCAGCTGAAATTCACAGAGTAGAACAGGATTACCCAGGACTGTGGGGATAGGTCATGTTAATAGGACAGACTTATGGTTCGGGAAGATGGGAAGTTCTGGAGACAGGGTGGTGAGGGCCATACAGTGTTTAAATGTGTACCCACTAAACTGCACCAAACAATGGGAATTTTTGTTACTATTTTGTAACTTTTAAAAAAATTGGGGGACTGAAGAGATGGTTCAGCTGTTAAGAGCACAGACTGCTCTTGCAGAGGACCCAGGCTACATTCCCAGCACCCACATGGCAGCTAACAACTGTTAGTAACTCCAGTTCCAGGGGATCCAATGCCCACTTTTGACCTCTGCTGGCATTGTACAACATGGGTATACCTGCCCACATGCAGGCATAACACTCATACATATAAAATAAAAATAATAGAAAATAGTCTTAAAATTTTTTAAGGAAGTCTATTGAGGTTAAAAGGGTTCAAAAACTGCTCTAATTCAAGAATTATTGAATGAAAGGATTCTGGATTTTTAAAAAATAAACATTTTCCAAAAAATGAATGACCTTGTTGATGATGAACCTGACTTTGAACCAAATGTTGGGAAAATGCTCGTGGACCATAGGAGAGACGACCTCCTCTGCAAGGGGTGGGTACCGGTGTCTCTGCCCTCCCTGTGCTGGGGCTGGGTCAAGACACTGCGCACCACCCACCCACTTACCACCCACCTTCCGAGGCTCGTCCGTCCTCTGAGATCTGAAGGAGCAGCTCCTTGGACTTGGCGTTCAGTTCACTGTGGGAAGAGAACAGCCCATAAACCTTTTGAGAAACGATGCTCTTGCTGTCTTTCAAATGTATTTTTGTTTTTATTGTTTTTTAGTTTTTTGAGAAAGGATCTCACTTTGTAGCCCTAGCTAGCCTATGTAACTCCTATGCAGACCAGGCTGGCCTCAAACTCACAGAAATCCTTTATATATTTATTATTTTCACTTTTGTGTATGAGTGCATTGCCCGCATGTATTTAGGTGCACCAGTGTTGTGCAATGTGTGAGGAGGTCAGAAGAGGGTGTCAGATTCCCCTGGAACTGAGTTACAAACAGTTGTTAGCAGCCATGTGGGTGCTGGGAATCAAATCCAGGTCTTCTGAAAGAGCAGCCAGTGCTCTTAACCACTGAGCCATCTCTCTATCCCCAAATGTATATTTTTTTGATGACACAGAAAGAACACAGGTTGTGTATAGTTAAGAAACTGCAGCACAAAGAACCAAGCAAGGGAACACTGCCGACATGACCTCTGACCAACGGTCACTGGAGCAGTCTTGCAGGGCTGACCCATGGACACCCTTCGGTGGCAAGAATGTATTAGACTGAGATGTTTGGAAGTACAGGAGGCTCGGGGCGTGTGAAGGTGGCCAGTGCCAATAAAATCCTGATTTAATTTGGTTTAATTTTTGATAAACTTAAAAGCCGCACGTGGCTATTTCCATATCAAAGCTCATCTGTACGATTAACCGAAGACGGCCCCTCCTCCCACTGTTTCTTCTTACTTACCACCTTCACTATTATTTCACCACATCCTTCACTGTATCCACCATTACTTCTAATAGTTTACGTGATTTCCTTGCTATATCACAAGCACTGCCCCACGTCACTCATGTCAGTCAACTTCAGTGTTTAAAAATTTATTTAATTGTATTTTATGTGTATGAGTGTTTAGTCTGCATGCATGTATGTATGTACACACATACATGCAATGCCTCCAGAGGCCAGAAGAAGACTTTAGATCCCCTGGAATTGGAGTCATGGATGGTCGTTAGCCACCATGTGGGTGCTGGGAGACGAACCCAGGTCCTCTGTAAGTCTACAGGTCCTCTGTAGATCTTGCGCCATCTCTCCAGCCCCTCAACTTCGTTTGAGGGCCACCTAGTGGACCGCTGCCTGGTCATATGAAATTTTTCTCAGCCAAATCTTTAAAAACCACTGTAAATAATGGGTTGGATGTTTCCTAATAAGCAAACTGAGGGGCAGAGCCCCAGGTGTCTACATCTGCTTACTGTATGAGGAAAACTGTGGCTGCCAGTTAGGAGACACATGCAATTAACATATTTCTAAAATTTTTATTAATTTATTAATTTCTATTTTATGTGTGAGTGTTTTGCCTGAATGTAAGTATGTACACCAGTGTTGTGCAATGCCCACAGAGGTCAGAAAAGGGCATCAGATCCCCTGCAGCTGGAGTTACAAGTGGTTGTTAGATACCATGTATTCTCTGTGTATGTGAATGCAGTTCCCTCAGAAGCCAGAAGGGGGCGTTAGATCCCTTGAAACTGCAGCTATCGACAGTTGCTAGCTGCCATGTGGGTCTTGGGAACCCAATCTGGGTCCTCTGTAAGAGTGTCAGTGCTCTTAACTTCAGAACCATCTCTCCAGCCCCCAGTATTTAAAATACTTTTAAGGGCTGTCAAGATGGCTCAGTGAGTAAGGGTGCTTAATGCAGTTTGACCTTTTGAGTTCAATCCCCAGAACCACAAGATAGAAAGAAAGAACCGACTGCCTCAAGTTGACTCTGATCTCCACATGTGCACTACACTGTGTTTACCCCTCACGTACATAAAATAAAAAACGCTCAGGAAAAGATCTGTTTGATTTGTAATAGGACCCCACTATGCAGCCCTCGCTGGCCTGGAACTCACTATGTAGACCAGGCTGGCCTTGAGCTCATAGGGATCAGCCTGCCTCTGCCTCCCGAGTGCTGGGATTAAAGGTGTGGGCCACCATGCCTGGCCTAAAAAAAAAGGTGTTTTTATTTTTTTAAATTTTTTTTTAACTTTTACAAAAACTTTATTGAGACTTTCATACACGAATATAAGATGTTTTCAGCAAATCCATGCCCACTCCCTCCCCTCCAACATTCCCACCTCTAAAGAGGTAACCCTAAAATATTTTAAGGATTAGATACAAGCTCCCAAATACTTTTGACATTTTGACATTGTTTTGCCTTTGGAACAGAGTATGTTGCTAATGGGCCCAAGGACATTTTGACTTTTAGCTCAGAATCTGGCTACATTTCTTTGGGGTCTTTTACCCTAACTGCCTAGCCAGTTCCTACCTCCTATTCTTATCATGCCATCCTCTGAAGGGGTTACCCCAATTGCCAACAGGGAATAGGGAAGCAGACTGCTCTGGCTTCTTCCATGCTGAACAGAGATACAGGGTGAGGCAACTGGAGTACCTCTCATATGAACATTTGAAAATTGTTCTCTTCTGACTTTTTCCTAGTTCTTTGTCTAGAACTTGTAATGCTAATTACTCTTGCCTTTACTTCTCCTTCACATCTCCTATTCATGATTCAAGGACTTTCTTTTCCCCTTAGAGACAAGAGTTATGCAATTTGGGAGTCTTTTAGATTGACCTACTGAAGGGGTACTCCAAAAGATATAAAATATATATATATAAAATGTCTCCCTGTAGCCCCAGCTGTCCTGGAACTATGTAGACCAGGCTGGCCTTGAACTCACAGAGATCCACCTGCCTCTGCCCCCCAAGTGCTGGGATTAAAGGCGTGCACCACCACGCCTGGCTCCAAAAGAAATTTTTAAATATACCATTTTATGGTATCCAGAATATTTATTCTAATTTATACCTCCATTAGTCATGAATATCCCCTCTCCCTCCTCTTTCTCCCCCCCCTCTCTTTTTGAGACAAGGTCTCTCTATGTAGTATAGACTTGTTAGTAGCTTTGGCTGGCCTAGATCTTTCTGCCCTCTTGCCTCAGCCTCCCTGCTGGGATTATAGGTACATGCCACCTTGCCTGCCTCAGATCTCTTATTCTTTACCAAGCTGTAAAGTAAAAGAACAACTTCTAATCATGTGGTTATTAAATTTTTTTTTAATTTTTAAAAAATTCTTCAAAGCAAAAAAAAAAAAAAAAAAAAAAAAAAAAAAAAAAAGAAGAACAACTTCTCTCTTCTATTCAGGTGTTCATTCCTCTACTGCCCCTGAGCATCTTTCTGGAACTTTATGGTCATCTCTCCTTGCTTCCATATGCACGATTCAGACACAGGAAAGCACCACTGTCCCTTAAAGGCACTACTGTGAATGTGGGTGTGAATGTGTGCCCAGGTGCGTGCAGCAGCACTTTCAACGTTCACTAGATTCTTAATAAAGAATTGCTACTTGGGAAATCCCACCCAATTTTTTTTTTTTTTTTTTTTTTTTTTTTTTTTTTTTATTTCCTGTAGCCTCTGCTGGACTGGAACTCACTATGTAGATCAGACTGGCCTTGAACTCACAGAGATCTGCCTGCCTCTGCCTCTGCCTCTGCCTCCCAGTGCTGGGATTAAAGGCAGGCGCCACGCCCACTCCACCCACTCTTTTAAGAATGTTCTCAGTCAGCCTCTTCCCTAGTTTCTCTTCTCAGTTTTCTAATATTATTTTCTACCCTATATACATTGTTATTTCTAGTAGTTTTAGTTGATTTCCTCAAGTAGTCCAGATATGTGACATTATCATCTTTAAAAAATCATTAATTTTGCTTCTTCCTGTCCCAGGATCTAATTTTTTTTTAAATCACATTTATTCATTCATTTAGTGTGTGTGGGTATGTAGTACAGCGCACATGTTGAGGTCAGAGGACAACTTGTGGGAGTTGGTTCTCTCCATCATGTGGGTCCTGGGGATTGAACTCAGGTTGTCAGGTTGGGCAGCAAAAACCTTTACCCACTGAGCCATCTTGCTGGCCCCCTTTCCAGGACTTGCCTGTCACTTTTCCTTCTCTGATAGACTAAACATCTCTGGAGCAAAACAATGGATCCCATTCTTGACACCAGCAGGGCCGCGCCTGGTATTTATGGTTCACAGTGGGTCTTTCAAATCTGTTCAAAAATTTCTGTGAATATCTGTGTTCTAATTAAGCATTTAAAAACTGGGAATCAGTATTAAATGCCACTGACTGTCTTTCAAGTACACATGAAGAAAAGTTTATTTTCTTCTTTGATCTAATGATACAATGAAATTCATGAATAGATGAATTTCTTTTTTTTTTTGATCGATTTATTTTTATTTTACAAGTATTTTGACTGCATGTATGTATGTGCAATACACGCATGCAATGCCCAAGGAGGTCAGAAGAGGGTGTCAGATTCCCTGGAACTGAAGGACAGTTGTTAGCTGCCATGTGGGTGCTGGGAATTGAACCCAGGTCCTCTTCAAGAGCAGTCAATGTTCTTAATCACTGAACCATCTCTCCAGTCCCCTACATCATTATTTTTAAGTGGTCTGCACACCCCCTTTCTCTACTCTTCTCACTGGATGTTGGTATCCATTGGAGGTTTCCTTCTGCCCTGTTCTGTGTGGTTGGCTGGGGGAAGTGGGAGTCTCTTCACAGTTCTCCTTGTCACAGAAGGGAAAGAAGAAAAAGGTGATCCCTAGAGCTGCCTTTAAAAAGAAATCCAAGTTGCACATAGGGCTGGCTACCTTTAAGATGCTTAGGACAGAGCTGGAGAGATGGCTCAGTGGCTAAGAGCACCGGCTGCTCTTGCAGAAAACCTGGTTTTAGTTTTCAGCACCCACTTGGCAACAATGATCCTTCACTCCAGTTCCAGTGGATCCGATGCCCTAGTCTGGCCTCTGTGTGCATTGCACACACAGGTGCGTTTATATGCATGTAGGTAAAACACTCATAAACATAAAATAAAAATAAATAGATCAAAAAAAATTTTTTAATCTTTTATTTTTTATTTTTATTTTATATGTATGTATGTATTGCCTGCATATAGATAAGGGCACCCCTGTCATGCAGTGCCCGTGGAGGACAGAAGAGGCTGTCGGATCCCCTGGGACTGGAGTGAAGGATGGTTCACAGCTGCCATGTGGGTGCTGGGAATCGAACCCGGGTCCTCTGCAAGAGCAGTCAGTGCCCTTAACCGCTGAGCCATCTCTCAAGCCCCAAGAGCTCTAATTTTTTAAGAACATATTTTATTATTTTTTTGTGTCTGCGTGTATTGCCTGCATGTAGGTAAGTGCACCCGTGTTGTGCAATGCCCATGGAGGACAGAAGAGACTGTTGGATCCCCTGGAACTGGAGTTATGGACAGTTGTTAGCTGCCATGTTGGTGCTGGGATTCAAACCTGGGTCATCTGCAAGAACAGCCAGTGTTCTTTACCACTGAGTTATCTCTCTAGCCCCTCAAAAAATATTTTCAAAAAAAGATGTTTAGGCTGGGCATGGTGGCACACGCCTGTAATCCCAGCATTCGGGAGGCAGAGGCAGGCAGATCTCACCCTGGTCTACAAAGTGAGCAGGCCAGCTAGGGCTACACAGAGGCCCTGTCTCAAAAGAAAAAGAAAGCAAAAAGATGTTTAGGATCTCTCTCTCTCTCTCTCTCTCTCTCTCTCTCTCTCTCTCAGACAGGGTCTCATTGTATAGCCCTGGCTGGCCTAGAACTCACTCTATAGACCAGGTTGACCTCAAGCTCACAGAGATCTTCCTGCCTCTGTCTCTCGAGTGCTGGGATTAAAGGCATACTTGTTTTCATTTTTAAAATTTACTCTTTAGTACAAATAGAACTACACAATGATTCAGGATCTGTTGGTCCTGGGCAGACCTAGCTATCACCGCCAGGCCTGTGACAATGTGGGCTGTACTCACAAGGTGAATTCCTCCTCCCAGGTGAGGTCTGTAGTGTTTCTTGCCAGGGTGCTGGTGAACCTCTGCACAGGATCGTTCAGCTGGGCCACACACACAGGGGTCATGTCGCCTGTGGCAACAAAGCTACACAGCATTGGCTTTTATTTTCGAACTGCGTTAAAACATTGCTTGTCTACATAAGAAAGGCTAAATCAGTGACGAGGGGCTTGGCCTACCCACTCCCCAGAGAGCTTCCTCTTGTTTGCCATTTATAAACTCTGTATGCTGGGGCTGAAGTTTTACCGCCCTGGATGCTAACAGCCCCGAACTGGCAGTGCTGCTGCCTCTTCCTCAGGCCTGCAGCAGGCGGGACTCTTCCCAGAAGGGACTCTTCCCAGAAGGGACTCTTCCCAGAAGGGACTCTTCCCAGGCGGGACTCTTCCCAGGCGGGACTTCTTCCCAGGCAGGAAGTCTTACCCAGAAGCAACACATCTGTGTTGCTGATGCTAATGGCTTGCTCAGGCTTGCTTGCTGGTCTCAAGTCTAAACTTTGACAGCACCTCACTCACAGACAACCCACTTCCCACCTACAACAGGCCAGTGTTTTCATGCCTCATCCAGCCCAGTCAGGATCCTTTTGGAACGCTTGATACAAACACTGGTGCATTTCACAGCTGTCTCAGCTATGAGACAATATTTCCCTTACAATATCAGTCCCCAAATCCCTTTTGGTTAGCAAGTGCTAGAATGTCTGGCCCTTTACCTGCATCTCAGGGTGACTGTCAGAGTCACCGCTGAAGGAAAGACTCGGACATAGGCGTGGGGCATCTTAGCATGGGTGGAGAATGGGACCTGGTTTCCCAGCAGGTGCATCCCTGGGCTGGAACACCCCAATGGCTGACAGAGTCCAGGGAGCCCACTCAGCCACCCGGTGGCACAGGTACAAAGGGCAACATGAAGTGAGCACCAAGAACATCACCTCCAGCCAGCTTTGCAGAAACTCCACTTAAATGAGGCATCTCCAAAGAACAGAGTTCCCAGTGCTCTAGGCCACTCGGCCCCTGAGCTTCCCATCTCAAACAAAGAATCAATCCACAGTGGTAAACCTCCTCTCCGGGAACTGCAAGAAGAACCAGGTTCTGTGGCTGCCTCCCTCCCATCAGCAACAGCCACTGGCCCTGAGCGTCAGGTGGTGTCAGTGAACCTCTCGCCGCCCTCCGTCAGCTACCACTTCCTAAGAAGGCAGAAGCTGCACTGATTTCCCGGGGATCAAGGTACTCAACATGAATTTATTAACTCAATTAAAACAACAACAACCACACACCTGTCAGGCTAAAAACAACAGGCAAAGTGACCCCCTATTCCTCCCTCGGCCCTCGGTTAGAGCACACCATACGTACTTTGATGGCAAAGTGAAGGCTAAAAACAGGCAAAGTGGCCCCCTATTCCTCCCTCGGCCCTCGGTTAGAGCACACCATACGTACTTTGATTGGCATGGACAACATTCTACCCTTTCTTTCTGTCAGGACCATTCAGAACCTTTCCACAAGCTCTCTGGATATATGGGATTGGCTATCACCGGCTTCAGCTGCCCCCTGTGCTGCAGGGTGGCCACTCCTGGCCACTGCACCCCAAGCCTGTTCCCCAAGGAACAAGCTTTTCACTTGTATCTCTGCTGAGGAAGGCAGAGATCTCACTGAGGACCCCTCGAGGTTGCCAAAGGAAAACTCACAGCCCCCAGGACATGGCAGGGATGGTCCCTTCCACAGGAGTAGGCCCCCCCATCCCCACCCTGGGGCCCTGGCAGCACCAGCACCCACCTAAAGCACCAGGGTCGGTCACCAGTGAGGCTCGGATGTTCTTCACCTGCAGTTTTAGTTCATGCGCTCTTGGTGGTTTGGGAGGACAAGATTCCTGTGCAGCAGTGGAGGTGCGCTGTAGAACCTGAAGGACAGAAAAGCAAAGAGCTGTGCATGAGGAGATGGTGGGTGGACGGAGGACACTGACTTCTGCCACAGGGAGGCAACTTCAGGGTCACCCACAAAGGGTACTTGACCTCCAAGGCTGGCTCTGGATCTACACTCTTCTCATGGGAAGCTACTTCTGCCTCTCCAGGAGCTTGTCCTATCTCAGATACAGAATCTGCAAGTGGCACTGCCTCCACTCGGCCTGCTGCCCAGGGCCTGCCATGGCAGAAACCAGCTGCATATTCTGATTTCCGTGCTCTAACCTAGGACAGGCCCTTCAGATAGTGAGCTGGTCTGCACGCTGCAGTACACCAGCCAAGGGAGAATGGCCACCACTCGTGATCACTTCTCACCTCCGGGCAGAGCCCACCACCCACAAGGGGTTCCTGACACTGCAGTAGCAAGGGGGACCCCTGGTACTTCAGGAGGGGGACCCAACACTGTAGGAGCTGGGAAACCTGCACCACTGCAGGAGGGGACCGAGACACTGCTCTCATCCTCAAAAAGGGCATCAGGGTGCTTCTGACTGCAGGCATCCCCAATCTGGGGGGCAGACCTGCGCTAAGTCAGCCTCTGAAACTCACTGTCTGCCATGATGGTCCTCGTGGGGCGGGGGGGGGTCCTGAATTTAGCACAAGCACATAGAGCTCCAGAAAGTTCTCTGAGATTCACTGAGTTCTGCACTGTATAAGCTGTGTGTGGGGATCCTGGGTGCTGATCAGGCTTGGCACACTCATGGGGGGATGCTAGCACAGTGACACTCATGGGTGCCACCAGCAAACACTGTTCCAAACCAGGCACTTCCCAGCTGTGAGCAAAGGATGCAGGAGGCCAGGAAGGGGCCAGGAGGAGTCTTAAAACACACCCTTGAACACTAGAGACTATGACCCACATCTGGGACAGGATGGAGATGAGATATATTGCCTCTTGTGTATGTGTGGCTGATTTTTTTCTTTCTCTTGTGTGTGTGTGCTGTGTATGCATGTTCATGTGTGTAGGCTGACATGTATTTGTGCAGTTGTGCCTGTATACATATATGTGAGTGTGCATGTGAAACCGGAGGCTGATGTTGGAAGTCCTCCTCCACACTCCACCTTGTTCACTGAGGCAGGGTCTCTCAATCAAACCCAGAACTCACCAATATGGCTAGCCAGCTTGCTCCAGGGATCGCCTGATGTCCCTGAGCACTGGAATCACAGGTGGATCACCATGTCCACCTGCATTTATGTGGTTCTAGGATCCAAAGCCCAGTTCTTATGCTTGACAAGTGATTTAACTCCTGAGCCAAGAGGGTGAGTTTTGTGCATCCGTTTCCCTGGGCCAAAAATGCTCAGGTGTTTGATAAAACACTGTTCTGGGTGTTTCTGTGAGGGTGGTTTGGGATGAGATCAATGTTTAGGACAGATTGATTTTTTCTGAGTGAGGTCTCATAAGCCCACACTGGTCTTGAACTTCTGATCTTTCTGCCTCTACCTCCCAAGTGCTAGGACTGCATGCAGGCACCCCCGTGATCAGTGTTTGCTATGATAGGGATTGAACCTAGGACATCATGCATGTTAGGCAAGCACTCTTCCAACTCAGCTCCAGCTCCAGCTCCAGCTTCCAGTTGAAGGCCTGGGCAGAAAAGGCTGAGTCACTCCCAAATAAGAGAGAGTTCCAGAAGGCTTGGGCAGGTCCATGTGTCTTCCTGCTTTTATTTTTTTTAATTTATTATTTTCATTTTATGTGTATGAGTATATTGCCTGTATGTATATAAGTGCACCCGTGTCGTGCAATGCCTGTGGAGGTCAGAAGAGGGTGTCAGCTCCCTTGGAACCGGAGAGTTGTGGGTGCCATGTGGGTGCTAGGAACCCAACTTGGGTCCTCTGCAAGAGCAGTCAGTGCTTTTAACCACTGAGTCATCTCACCAGCCCTTTTTCCTACTTTTAAACTCAAACAGAAGCACTGGCTTCTGAGCCTCAAGCCCTGGGCCTATGGTCAGTCTTTGGACTGGGATCAAACAATTCGCGCTCCTGGTGCTCAAGGCTTTAGACCTGGACTGGACTCACGCCATGCATGCGTCAGCCGGAACATCATGTGACCAGTACTGTAGGACACACACTCAATCTACACTCCCCCTGATACAAGGACTCAGTTTCTCTGGACAGCTCTGACCAGTGGGTGCACCACTTGATAAAACCCTACAATTTTATTGTAAAACATGATTGAGTTTATGATATTTGGTCCTTTGGTTTTCTGAATCCATGGATTCTGAAAATATACTGCTATTTTGTGAACTTTCTCCCATTTTGATAGTGCCATTTATAGTCAGTCAGTCCCCTCGGATCTGCAAGAATCCACTGTAACAGGACCACTGGGAGGGATCGGCTGGGGCTGGTGCCTACCTCTGGATCCATGACTGATTCCTCCCCCAGTTTTGGAAGGCCGAGTCCTCTGCCTCATTCCTCAAAAGGGCCCCAGGGGTGTCCACAGTGCCTTTCTGTTTTCATCTACTGGCCGAGCTGCCCGGTACACACAGGGGGTAAAGACGACTTCTCATACTCCTGTGACCCTTCACACCCAGAGCTCATCACTAAACACTGTCGCTAACTGATACCGTCTGATGAATGATGCAAAGCAGGGAACTGTGGCCTCATCAGGAGGTCAACACTGGGTGGCCCGTAGCCTCTCCCACCTGCAGAGCTGGGATCCTGAGGCTCCACCCAGGACCACAGGTAACATCTGTCCAATCGCAACCCCATTGTGGGAAATGAAGGCACGGGACAAGCATGTTCAGAAGCTCCTGCACCCCACAGTTGGGCTTACCTGAGATTCCTGGACCCCTGTGGGCTTGGCGCTCAGAAACACCAATGGAAAAGCAGCACTAACCAGATGCTTGAAAAGATCCTTAAGGGCTTCGGACAGCACGTTTGCCTCAAGTACGTGCTCCTGGAGAGAGACAGACCATCAGATCACTGCACACCTCGTGTGGGCACCTGACAGGCATGTGTGGGGCTGCACCATCAGGCAACATCAAGCAACATGGCATTACGGCTACACTGGCTGTCACTAGGACCACAACCCTCCTGCTGGCCCATAATAGGCCAGGCACGGCAGCAGCCTGGAACAGAGCACGGCCTGACACAGCCAGGTTGAAGTCGGGAACCTCATTCCATAAGGAACCAAAATGGGCCGACAAGCAGGCTGACAAAGCCCCTGGGCTGCAAAGGAACAAAGTCCAGTCAAGAACTTGACAATCAAAGACACCCAGGGTTCAGGACCAGCCACGTCGTGCACAGACTCCGGCCCCGGAACCACAAGGCCATAGGTACCAGTTCCTTTCAGCTGCTGGGTCTCTGGATTGGTAGCTGCTTTAGTGGTCTTTGTCACTGCTGTGAATAAGACCCTTGACATCAGCAACTTAAGGAAGGAAGGATTCGTTTTGGCTCGCAGTTTGAGGGTACATTATGGCAGGGAAGGTGTGACAGCTGGTCACACTGAATCCATACTCAGGAGACAGAGAGAGAGAGTGAGAGAGAGAGAGAGATGAACGCTGGTGCTCAGCTTGTTATCCCTTTTTACTCATTCGGGGGTCCCAGCCCATGGGGTGGTGTTGCCTACGCAGCAGGGTCTTCTCATCTCAGTGAATCCAACCTAGAAACTCCCTTACAGGCATGTCCTGATGTTTGTTTCCATGGTGATTCTAAATCCCATCCAGCCGACAATCAAGGTTTAACTGTCACAGTTTTGTAGTTCGGAGGTACCCCATACTCAGTGTCCCAGTACACTATGGGGGCTTGGAAGGGTGTCAAAGGACCACAGGGAGTTTCATGGGACCTTGACAATCAAGGTTTAACTGTCACAGTTTTGTAGTTCAGAGGTACCCCATACTCAGTGTCCCAGTATACTATGGGGGCTTGGAAGGGTGTCAAAGGACCACAGGGAGTTTCATGGGACCCACTTTGTCCCGTTCTTGAGCTGGGTGGTTGTGCTCAGTCCTATGCTCACTAGTCTGTGCCTCAGAGCACCATATATGATTTTAGCACACAGGATTTGGTTTTTTAAAATCTGGATGCATGTGAAGGATGATTTGGTCGTGGATATACCAGAGTCTTGTTTTGATATTACAGCTTTGGTTTTCACTCTTGAGAACCAGGGTCAGGTGGCTATCTGCTAAACGGACAGGCCACTCACTGCTTGCTGGCTCGGCCTCACACTGTCCCGAGGTCTGAGGACAGCAGCTGTGAGGGAGTGAGTTCTGCCAAGATTCAGTACCCTGGGTTCCAACACCGCTGTGCGGGAGGCACCTTGGGAGCTGTGTAGTGTCACCGGCACCTTGGGTCCATCCCTCTGCTGTCAGCCACTCACTGAGAGCTCTTTCCCACCCGGCCTAGTAGGCAGGATGCTTGGAGGCACTGGCTCTCACCAGCCTGTGGGGTACTTCCAACTTGCATAACAGAAGCTGATTCAGAAGGCAGCAGGGAGCTGTGCTGTTAGGAAGATAATCAGCTGCCTGTCCTCTGCTCAGCCAGAGTTCCTTACAGCGAGCTCGGTCTGTATTTACTGAAAGTCAATCCCACTCTCTACAACTACAGATCTCCAAAATACTAAGAAATAAAATAGCTGATGCTTACATGGCTCTGACTCATATTAAGAGAGTCTAGAGACAAATCCAGGTGGTCAAAGCAGTTAAGGGTCTGTGTCTTGGGCTGGGAGACCACTCTCCCCCATGGGCCTTTGACAACAACTTCCACTTAAATGGCCGGCATGGTGGCGCACGCCTTTAATCCCAGCACTTGGGAGGCAGGGGCAGGTGGATCATTTTAAGTTTAAGGCCAGCCTGGCCTACATAGTGAGTTCAGGTGAGCTGGGACTACAGGGAGACCCTGTCTCAAAAAGACAAAACAAAAACAAAAACAAAACAAAAAAAACAACAAAGAAAGAAATAACAACAACAAAACTAGGCCACTGGCGCAGAGGACCTGGTTTGAGTCCCAGCACCCACATGGCGGCTCACAACTGTCTGTAACTCCAGTTCCAGGGGATCTGACACCCTTTTCTGACCT